TATTCAGAAAGAGTATTGACAGAGGTCGCCGCCAGAACAAAAGCAGTTTCATTGCCTGTCTGACCGCCTGTGGTCTGACATCTTATCACCGCTGAACAATAAATAGGTGTGAATATTTTCAGGCATGTTGTCGAAACAAATGAATAGGATTAGGAACAATGCCGTTTTGGAACAGCTGATTGAAACAATGAAGTCAGTCACGGTCTTGTTGAATTGGGGGTGCGGTTAGTAATACATGTAGGTACTTTTCAAGTTTTCAATTTTTGTTAAGAACTCTTAAACCCCGAAGCCGGAATTGGGGGTGCGGTTACTATTACGTATGCGGTTTATATTAGGACTTTAACGGTAAGCAAAGCTTACACAAAGTACAAGATATATTAAGACACCCATATAGAAAACGTATTGTTAGAATAGACTATTTTCTGTTCACTGCAAGATACAATCGATGTTATGTTTGAAATTGAATGAAAAAACAGAAGTCAAGGTTACATACATTAATACTGTGGGTTTGGACAAACCTATTGGTGAGATAGAAAACAAAATACACACTCACCTTCAATTTGTCAAATGGTTGACCTAATTCATCTTTCACCAATTCCTTGTCAAAGAAGTTAAAGCGTCTCCACTAAAAATACAGAAAATAATTTTGCAATATATATATATAAATATCATATTTATTTTAATTTGCAGTCATTGTAATGTGTAAAACAAACATTGTATTTTACACATGTTGTAAGGGCTATTTACAAGTGTGTTGTACGAGGCAAAACAGCAAACAATGCATAAGGCAATGTCAGTTGCCGAAACAAGTCATCTCGTTTCTATGATATAACCCAGATGGGTCAAGCGATGTCATCATAAAAAAACACGTTCACATGTTGCCATGGCCAGTTGCCATGACAAAGTCAGCTTAGACTTTCATTTGAGACGTGACAAAACAAACCCAGCAAGTGATACAATTTGAGAATTAAAAAACAAAATATAAACACAATCAAATGCACTGATCAAGCACATTGGAAATAAATAGAAAATGTTGCGATGCAGAGTCTGTTTTTATTTTTAAAATGTATCACTTGCTATATTTATTTTGTCTTGAAACTGAAAGTCCAAGCTGACTTCGTTTTGGCTGTAAATCTCATCATGATGCCTGTGATGTTTTAATGAATTTGTTGTTAAAGTTGCATTCTGAGAGAATTTATAGAGCTTTAATGAGGACTTGGGACTATTACATGTATGTAAGATTGGATGGTCTGAATTTTTCACAAATTGTGAGAAACGTATAATAAATTTTCAATATTTTTCAGCACTTCCAAATACTTGTGATTCTTTTGGCTTCTTATTTGTACACGTGTTTTGTTTGTTGAGGCTTTAGAATAGTGTTCTAACACAAGTGGATACACAAAGATTCACTTTTATTCTTAAGTACTGTAGGTCTCATTAATTCAAAACAAGTCTAAATGCTGGTGAAACCTTGTTTTTTTCCGCACTGTGCACACACTTTTTTGACCATCAAATATTCCACATATTAATCTTATGACCTCTATAAAACAGTATAAATGCTCTCTGACAGCAAATTTAATGAATAAACAACAGTAACGTGTCACACTACGTATATGGGAGCTGAGGGAAGGAGAATCACAGAAAATAGGAAAAATCAGTCTGCATGCTAAGAACATGTTAGACGCATACAAGCACAGCTATTGTATGACTTACTCACTTGAATTCAATCAAATATAAAACTTAAATTAAACAACATCAAAGGACATGTCAGCTATAGAAAGTGATCTAGTGAGAATGGAGATTGGAGGCGTTGACAGTCAGACTTGTTGAGCAGTTAATTTTGATTTAATAGGCTTTTGCTTTTATTATCTCATTTCGAAATGTGTCTCGAAACACAAAATATCTTTCCCTAAAACGCTGCTTTCATAAAAATGACACAAATAACGTGATCTTACCTGGAGAAACGCCATTTTGGAAATTACACTCGATTCCAGCAGATCAGGTGACCGGAAATAATATGATTTTTTAAATTTTGTTTTAAGTTAATTTCCTTTCATACCCACAACTTAATGAATGACAAATCTACTGCTTTTAATATTTAAAATAAATACGGCAATGATAATGCGTTTTTAGTCTCAAGGTGAGAGTTCAAATGTGAAAGTTCGTGTCATTCCTTTATTATTACCCACAATTCACTGTTTTATGTTGCCACTGGTCACAGCGTCCCTTCCAGCTCGCTCGTATTTGATTGATTTCTTGGTCTGTCTTCGCACTTCTGCCAAATACTTGCAAAATGGCGTCAAGCATGGCGAGATTTAGGGACAGTAAGAAATCAACATCAGGTAAGACCACTATTTGACACTTTCCCAAACAACATTTCTTTGCTTTATGCTGCCGATTTCACTGACCTGTGTTGGAAATCGATTTACTACCTGGAGAATGTTTGTGAAAGAGAGGGTCAAACCCACCCTATTGTCCTCGGGTCTATTGTTATACTGCATTTGCAAAAGGATTTACGTTGTCCGTGTAGATAAGGACGCTATAAGACCCAGCTACCTGGCAACTTCTGAACTAATTACCATATTACGGCCCAGTTTAAAAAGTCCGAAGGTGAATCAAGTTTTTATACAGATAAATAAACAAAACGTACTACAAATCGGTACAAATGTAGTGTGAAAACTTTATTTGATAAAGGCCCCTTGTTTCAGATTGACTGTTGTCCCAATTCTTTGACAAATAGAGTTATTTTACACATAACAACGGCATGAACAACACTATAACACTAAGGTAGATTTCACCTTACGTCACAAAGCTTTCAGTATGGCAACTGAATACAGTAAATCACTTCATTTTCAAGAATTTTGCAAGTGGGAAAAAAAATATATTAGAATCTTTGAGACAGTGAGTTACAATCTAATCTTGAACATTGATTATATCTTGGATGTTACCTCTATGATTAATAAATATTAAACAGTTTTCCACGCTTAATGTCAATTGGGAAACTTAAAGGGGAACCGCTCAATCCTATGGATTGCACCAAAGAATCATGGGACACGATTGTTTATGTTGTTTACAATGTTAATCTGTCTTTTGTTAACCATTGTTATTTTAATCCAGAAAGTAAATTTGTTGTGAGATTAGGCTTAACTGGAAGGTGCCCCTTTAAAGTTTTGCCTTCACAATGGCTGATATGTCTGAGTGTGTTTTATCTGAAATGTGCCCTGGAACCAGACTACTGAGATTATTGATATTGAGCGGTGATGCAAATTTGCACCCATATTTCGGTGCTGCAAAGTTTAGTTGTGTAGATTCTTGCTCTACATTCAAGATATATGTAAAATCATCTCAATGGATATAATTTAGACACTGATTAGCGCTGTACGCTTGAGTGACTCTGATGCTTACTCCTTGTGCAAGTGCACATCTACTTTCTACTTTTGGAAGTGTTTCAATCCCAGGTTGCGTAATGTTACAGCATAATCTGAATAATTATTAGCAATAAATAAGCCTCAGAATAGACCACTTGTGGTAATTTCACATTGGACCAAAAAAAGTATTGAATAAAATTGTAATATAAACATAGCCAATCAATGCAACAATACCAGAACCAACAACTTATTCTGTAAACTGTTTTATAATTTATTTTGTGTAGAAAACATTTTTAGCCGCAGTTTTATTGATGTTCAGTGACTTTCATGGAATATAGTCCCTGGAATACTATCAAAATATAAAACTAATTCTGAAGATGAACATTGCCAACATGTCAATATATGAGACTAAAATAAACATCCATAATTTATTGATAAAAAATAACTATAATGATAAACTAAAATGAAATTGTATATGCTGCAGTTATAATTCTCACATTATTATGTTTTGTTAAACCATCAATGTCATGTTTTTATGTTTTTTTAATAAAAATGGCAAAAACTTATTTTTTATTTGTATTCATTTTAATTTTAATTTTTTTTTAATAGGCACCTTTTTTTCACTGGCTTTATTTTTGTATGTCTGTACATTGTTACTCGTTTTATGCAGCTGGTTGTTTAATCCCATTTTAATGAATTTTTCTTTGTTTTACCAAAATGGGACATAACACCACAAAGGTTTATGGGGGCTTGCTCAAATATTTTGAAAATGTAATTTCGAAAAGTTCGCACGTGTGGAAATTTGAAGATTCATGACATTAATTTTTTTCATCTACATGTATTTAGGTGAAATAAATAGATTATTCATTTGTTCATGACAGTCATGACATATCTCATTATTTATTCATTTTTCAACATATTTGTCATACCAGGTACAAACTCACTAAGAAGATCAGGTAGTTATGGTAGTCTTAAAAAAAGTAATCTCGCCCCATCGTTCAGCCCTGATGTATCGTAAGTATCAGAACACGATAACAATTATTTATTTTGTGTTTTTCAAGTGCTGTTGTAAACTAGTTGCCATGGTGATGTAACTAAGGCAGAAAAAATGTTGTACATTGAAATAATCCCATTTGCTTTTAATACAGGATGTTGAAATGATTTTATTGATCATGGGTCGTAACCGTGGAACAATCTCTTTAGATTTATCAATGGTTGTTACTGTGGAATTACCATACCTAGTATGATAAAAGTTACCTAGTGGTATGATACTTTGGGAAGTAATGAACACCTCAATGGATGCTTTTGCAATGTTTTTGATCTTTTGTTGCTCAAAACTTGATGCCTTCTGTGATTGTTTTAGTTTCTGACTTCAATGGAATGCCCTTTAATTATTAAGTCGCCATAGAGGGCGCTGACATGCTGACTGAAGTGTTGCTTTATTTTCCTAAGGCCAAAACATCAGAAATTGTTTTGTTTTTAATACTTTAATTTATTGATTGATCAGTCTAGAATTTTCTGTCTCAACTTAAAAGTCCAACATTGGATCTAAATTCTTCAGTATTCTTTGGTTTTAGCAATCGGGTCCCCATTAACTTTAAAATTATCTTTATTTATTTTTCTCTTGTTTTATACAGAAAA